CTAATTATATAAGATTAAGCATTAAAATATAAAAAGTTTGAGGTATTATACGTAATTTTTTGAGTTAAAATGAATTTAGTGGAATTTTCTGAAGTTAACAGGGCCTAATTAACGAGTAAATTAGGGTTTGTTAATTAAGGGGTCTAAAGGCTCTTTAAAATTTCTAAAAAATTCTAAGAGGTTTAGGATGTTACTAAGTTTAAATGTTGAAAGTTTTATATTAATTGAGGATCTATCATAGCTCATAGAATTTTTCTAAGTTTGCTAGACGGGTCCTTAATTATTGTCCTTAGAGTGTCACTACGTTAAATATGTTTAAATCAAGTATTTGAGACTAACTCTTAGGATAAAATGAATGGAATGCATATAAACAGAAAACACATCAATCTTTAGATCTAGGAGGGCCTAAACTAGGTGTCCGTGCATCCTACACATGCAAGAGACGATAAAAATAATAATTAAGCATGCTTTACGATGTGAATAGTGGATGATTGGAACTCAACCATCCACTAATCTATCCCCCATGAATGCTATCAGTATGCATAGATCAATATTTAAAATTTTATGAAATGGATAGCCCAAAATTAGGGGATTTAAGGTATATGTCATTTTAAAATAATTTAAAATATATATATTAATTCACTAAATTTTAGAAAATAATGTAATTCAAAATAATTTAATATAAACAAGTACATGAATATATGAGAGATCCACTGGTCACCCAAATGAAGTTTCAAAATAATTTAAAAATAAATTTTAATTTGAAAATAATTAACATATTATATATTTAAATAATAGTTAAATAATAAAAGTAATTAAATGGTGCAGAAATAAATAAAAAATAATAATTTTTAGCCTCTAATTTTTAAGGATAAAATAGGAACATATTAATTATTATATAAGTAACTATCATTATCAAATATTAATTAATTATATACTTAAATGATTGAAGTGATTAAAATTTATTTGAAAATTTAAAATATATCCTAAAAATAATTTAAATTCAAATTATTATGTTTTAAACTAATTAGTTAATTATTTAAAATATTTTGATGAAAAAAAGATGAATTTAAAATGATATTTAATATAATATTATTTTAAATATTAATTAACTAGTTAAAATAATCATTTTTAAAATAATTTAAAATATACAACAAAATTTAAAGGAATTTTAATTTTAAATTAATTATGATAAAATTTTGAAAAGTTTGGTATAAAAGACATGATTTTTGGATTTTAAATATTTTTAAGTTAATTTTTAAAGAAACATTAATTTTAAAATGATTTTTAAAATAATTAAAACATTTATTTTAATTAAATCTGATGGCGACATACATGGCATCTACTAATTGGTGGATTCAAACAGCGGTGGCAGTACCCAATCATTGGTAATGATTGGTGCCTCCATTAATCATTGCCAAACGATTACTAAAATGACGGTGTCTATGCAATTTTATTAATCCGCATCAGCGGGAATCGAATGTCGTCCGATCCAGCACGATTCAAATGGATGGCGGTGATCACGTTAGATGGGAGAACTGACCGTGGGATCGAGCCCTGCGGTTGATCCGAACCACGAAGGGTCCAAATAAAATCCATTGATCGCGGGATCAACGGGCCTGATTTGTCTATGGCTAATAAAGAGCGAAATCCAAACTCTAATGGTGTTTCTCGCTTAGTTCTCTAGATCAGATGAACCAATTAAGATGAAATTTTAAACATGTGATGTACACATGAAGAGCATTTATGGGGAGTAAAAATTGTGTTCTAAAACACACTATACATGAAGTTATTTAACCCTATGTGTAGTGACCTAGGTTAGGGTTTTTGGGAAATCTCACTGTTTGATCTTTTGTATCTTGACACAGTTGAGATTGTAGATTGTTATCATACAAGTTCTTAGTTGAAACCACGTTAAATGAGCTATGGATTGAGCTGAGGAAGCCTTGGGAGGTCCTTAGGCTTGGTTCACAAAAGATTTCGCCGCTAGCTAGGTGTTAACGATGAGATTGGCTTGGAAAAGGTGAGGAAGGGTTAGGGAAATTCTCACACGAAGTCTCACAGCTTTTGGAGGCTTAAAGAGGGAGAATTTATCAAAAGATCCCTAAAAGAAACCCTAGCACTCCTATTTATAATTCTAGACCTATGATCAAGGGTCTAGATCTCTCCTAAGGCTCATTAGGAGGGAAATCAACTTGATTAGATTGGGATTTGAGTCAAATGAGAATTAGGAAACATTCCAAAATATTAATTAGGCTTAATTTGAGCTAAATAGGTCAAAATTGACCAAGGGATACTTGGGTTGGCCAAGTCAAAGTTTGACTTGGTCAACCTAGTCTAATAAAGCCTAAGAGATGAGGGGCTGAGCCCAAGGAAGTCTGGAATTGAATTAAATTTGATTTATGGTCAAATGGGTCTAAATGGGTCAACTTGGGTTGACCAGGTCAACCAGGTTGATCCACGGCAAGGGTTTGGGCCCAATGGGTTGGGTCTGACCCATTGAGTATAGTGGCAGTGAGAATTGACCAAAGAAAGGTTGGAATTGGATTTGAATTGAAGGGAAAAGTATTTGGGTCAATTTGGTTAAGCCTAGGTTGACCCAGGGCCTGGGTCAGGGCTCAACAAGTTTGGTTTGACCCACTGAATTGAATGGGAGGGGTCTTGGGGCCTCGCTCGGTCAATTTGACCATGTCAACCCCTTTGACCCAGGGTCTGACAAATTTAAGGTCAACAAATATATTATGCTGTTCTAATACTATTTGTAAGAATATTAGATTTGTTATTTGAGCATTTATGGGGAGTAAAAATTGTGTTCTAAAACACACTATACATGAAGTTATTTAACCCTATGTGTAGTGACCTAGGTTAGGGTTTTTGGGAAATCTCACTGTTTGATCTTTTGTATCTTGACACAGTTGAGATTGTAGATTGATCTCATACAAGTTCTTAGTTGAAACCACGTTAAATGAGCTATGGATTGAGCTGAGGAAGCCTTTGGAGGTCCTTAGGCTTGGTTCACAAAAGATTTCGCCGCTAGCTAGGTGTTAACGATGAGATTGGCTTGGAAAAGGTGAGGAAGGGTTAGGGAAATTCTCACACGAAGTCTCACAGCTTTTGGAGGCTTAAAGAGGGAGAATTTATCAAAAGATCCCTAAAAGAAACCCTAGCACTCCTATTTATAATTCTAGACCTATGATCAAGGGTCTAGATCTCTCCTAAGGCTCATTAGGAGGGAAATCAACTTGATTAGATTGGGATTTGAGTCAAATGAGAATTAGGAAACATTCCAAAATATTAATTAGGCTTAATTTGAGCTAAATAGGTCAAAATTGACCAAGGGATACTTGGGTTGGCCAAGTCAAAGTTTGACTTGGTCAACCTAGTCTAATAAAGCCTAAGAGATGAGGGGTTGAGCCCAAGGAAGTCTGGAATTGAATTAAATTTGATTTATGGTCAAATGGGTCTAAATGGGTCAACTTGGGTTGACCAGGTCAACCAGGTTGATCCACGGCAAGGGTTTGGGCCCAATGGGTTGGGTCTGACCCATTGAGTATAGTGGCAGTGAGAATTGACCAAAGAAAGGTTGGAATTGGATTTGAATTGAAGGGAAAAGTATTTGGGTCAATTTGGTTAAGCCTAGGTTGACCCAGGGCCTGGGTCAGGGCTCAACAAGTTTGGTTTGACCCACTGAATTGAATGGGAGGGGTCTTGGGGCCTCGCTCGGTCAATTTGACCATGTCAACCCCTTTGACCCAGGGTCTGACAAATTTAAGGTCAACAATATATTATGCTGTTCTAATACTATTTGTAAGAATATTAGATTTGTTATTTGGGCTAAAATTTATAATTGGGTTTCTTTTCATAAAATCAAGCATTTACTCTATTAAGCTGTGGGGGTCCTTCTGGTTCGTGTTTCTTTATTTTCTAGTCCTTGGCTATTGATTTCAGCAACCAGGCTGTTGCTTGGATGGTTGGGATTTTTAGCTAAAGGTTGTTTTTAGATATTTTTTTGTATTGTTGTTCTCTATCTGTTCTTGTTCTCTTTTGTTGCAGGCGCTGTTATTATTTCTCAGAGTTAAGTTCTCGTAGGTTTGGTGTTGTTTGTTTTTCTGTTGGTTTGTTTGGACTTTGGTGTAGGGATCCTTTTTTTCTTCTTCTTTTGGATGGTTGGCTCGGCAACCAGGTTATCACCTTGGAAGGTTGAATATGAACCCTTCTTTGGGTTGATGATTTTGTTGCTGCTGGTTGATTAGATTTTGCTGAAGGTTTCCCATCTTAAGTCCTGTTGGTGGGGGGTTGCTGGATTGTTTCTTCTTTTGGTTTTGTTTGTTTTTTTCGTATACATCCTTTGTTTTTAGATTCAAGTTTTTATTGGAGTAGTTAAAAGGATGCTTATGGGGTTTAAAGCTTTTGGATGGATTTGTTGCTGTTTGTTTGGTTTTGCTGAAGTTTCAGGTTATGTTTGGAGCAGTTAGAAGGTTGTTTCACGTTCTTGAGCTGTCGGATGTCTTTAGAAGCTTGTTTCCTTGTCTTGCTTTGGAATCTATTTTTCTGCTGGTTGATCAAATTTCGCTGAAGGTCTCCCATCTTGAGTCTTGCTATGATATTCTTAAAGAAAGCTCTTGATGATTCTTGCCCTAAAAAATATTATAATATACTTGTAACCTTTCATTTGGGATAAAATTTGCATGATTGCCCTAAATTTTTTTTGTAAATTGAAAATTATAATTTTACCTATAATTAAAACAGGCAAGAAAAAAGAAATTGATATATTTAATGATAATTAATATTAATAACAAAATGTCGGATATAATTGTGATATTCATAGATCATTAATAAATTTAAATTCAATCTTAAGATTTTGGGTTGCCACACGGCTGATCGGACAGCAGAGCACTGAGTGGCCCCACCGTCGTCTACCATCTTGGAGCACAACCGGAGTTGATGATCATGTAGCGCTTCGTGTAGCGGACGTCGACCTGATTGATATTTTTACCAGGGGGAATGCTGCCGGGGTTTCTCGCATCGCCGATCCTCTACTCGGGTCAGCAGTTCAATAAACATTTTGCGAATCGACTAAATCGGTTAGAGAGGGCGAAGTTATAGGTGTCGGCCATGGCGATCCTGTACGCCGTGGTGGCGAGGGGCACTGTGGTCCTGGCGGAATTCGCAGCTGTGACTGGGAACACGGGTGCGATTGCGCGGAGGATCTTGGAGAGGTTGCCGCCGGAGTCTGATTCTAGATTATGCTTTTCCCAGGACCGCTATATCTTTCACGTTCTGAAGGCCGATGGTCTTATTTTCTTGTGCATGGCCAATGATACCTTCGGAAGTTAGTACTCTCTCTCTCTCTCTCTCACGCCGGGCGCTATTATTTTTTCTCTGTAGCTTGTTTCTAATGAGAAAGGTTTTATTATGATCTAGAGTTAGCTGATACTGGATATGGAATGTAATTGTGGAATTTGGCCGCGAATTAAGATTTTTAATTCAGTTAGGGTTTTAATTAAACGCATTATGGCTATTTTTTTAGGTTTATGCTATAATTTTTTGGATGGAATACTGGATTGATAATCTCTAGTAAGCTTGAGGGTTTTTCTGCATGAGAGATTTTCAAGCGATAATGAAACGGTGACTTTTAATCTAGCTTAAAAAAAAAAATTAATGACACTGATTCTTTGTGGATGGTAAATTTCCACAGCTAGAGTGATCTGAATCATTGTTTGCGTTATTGCCTTTTATCATGGAATCACAAAGTTTTGATATTGATGCTTCCTGTTTGTTTTTTTGGTTATCCAATTGGAACTTCTTCATTATTGTTGCGTACTGGAATATTCGCGGCGGTAGATAAATATAAATTTTAGTGTCCTAGCTTTATACGAAGATCCAATACACAAACAGATGAAAGATAAGAGTTTAGCATTCATAAGAGACACAAGAAATTTTACATGGAAACTCCTAAAAAGGGAGAAAAACCCTAGGCCTTGCCCTATTTAAATGAATCCACTGGTGTTTGAAGTTGATTACAAATGAGGCCTTTCCTTGGAAAGAAGGCTTTAGCTCGATGTAGCAAATATACATCATATAAAGTTCATTATATAATGGGAATAGGAAGAATCTGTGTTGGCATGTTCGTTTGGTTGACAAGACCATAGTCGGCGAATGATGTTGGTCAAGGAACTATAATCGACGAGCGACGGAGGTCGGAAAGTCCGAAGTCGGGTGACGGCGAACGGAAAGACCATAGTATGGAGATGATGGTCGAAGAGAACATAGTTGGCGGACGACGGAGGTCTGAATGGCTGTAGTCTGGTAACGGTAGTTAGAAGGACCGTAGTCGAGCAACAGCGGTTGGGGGAGATTGTAGTCTAAAGATGGTGGTCAAAGAGACCGTAGTTGGTGAGCGACATAGGTTAGAAGATCGTAGTTGGGTGACGGTGGTTGGAAAGACCATAGTTGGACGACGGCGGTTGGGGAGACAGTAATTTGGAGATTGTGGTCGGTGGGCGACAAAGGTTGGAAAGACCATAGTTAGGTGACGGTGGTTGGAAGGACCATAGTCGGCGGACGACAACGGTCGGAAAGACTATAGTCGGGTGATGATGGTCAGGAGGACCATAGTCGACGGAGATCGAAAAGATCTTAATTGGCGATGGTGGTCGGAAGAACCATAGTCGGTGGGCAACGGAAGTTGGAAAGACCGTTGTTGGGTGACAGTGTTCAGAAGGACCGTAGTTAGCCAATGATGGAGGATAGAAAGACCGTTGTCTGGTGACGGTGGGCGTGAATCTGGAGTCAGTTGGTGACTGGGCTGAAATTTGGCGACAGTCGGTGGCCGAGTGGAAGTCCGACGACGGTTGGTGGTCTGACGGTTGTCGAGAAGGAGCTTGATGGCCAGATATATCTTTGATTTCTTTTTCTTCTTCCTTCTCTTCTCTTCACTTCCTTGATTGGTCCCCCCTTTATATGAAGAATGAGGGCCTATTTATAATTTTTTGGGAATGACATGACCAATAAATAAGAAGAAGATCAATGACAAGTTTGGAGTGTTTCCAATGGACGGCCGACATCAACTCCCTTAATCATAGACCATTTATCAAGTATTTGAGTATTTAGATATCAAAATTTGACAATCTTGGGCTTGTTGGATTCGTCTCATTGAACTGCTCGATTTGACTATAAGCATGTCACATTTGGTGTTCATTTGGTCATCTGATATATGATTTAAACCTTCAAATTATGCTTAGGGTCCTTGATTTGGACCCATTTGGGCTCGGATTGAGTCGAATTTAGTGTTGTTAGGTTCGTCTTTTCGAGATGTTCAATTCGACTATAAGTTTGCTGAAATCAGAGTTCAATGGTTCCGAATTTATTTTCGAGAGTTTCCAACTTAAATTTTCCTCGAGATTCGTGCCTGATCAAGATAAAATTTTGAAGATATATCAATTATGAGGCAAAGATAAATATTTTGGAATGCATAGCGTTTTAGATGTCAATCTACACACGCCTTTTGTCTAAAAGATTCCTTCACCATCCTTATCAATTAGGTTTTTCTGTATGAATTTCTTGTCTTTATCAATTTTTGGTGGAGTATTGCATGTGTTGTTAGTTGTTAACGTTAGTTTATGCAAGTCCTTTTTCTTAAATATTAGCCAGATTATCTTTGATTTACTCTAGCAAGGTTGCCTTTCATTTTGATTCTATCTAATTTCCTTAATAGTGCATCTTCTACTCTTCATTTTGCGTGCTCGAACTTCTTTAGCCTATTTTCTTTCACCTTGTACTGAGTAGGGGCTTCCTCTGTGACATCTCTAGTACAAATTTGTGTTAGCTTTACTACTTAAAATGAGAAAATAGGTTAATTGCTTTCAAAAATAGATCCACCAAATTTTGAATATATTTCTTCAATTAGTAGGGAACAAAATATTTTTGTAAAGATTGTAAGGGGATTCTTGAAGAAAGTTTAACCTCTCAGCTTAGTGTAGTTATGAATGCATATTTAAGGAGTTTAAGGAAAACAATCAAAATAAATTATTGCTTTAGGATAAGATGATGGAATGTGAAAGATAAGAAAACTTTTAATCTTTCAAGATAGCCAGATTTGTTATTTAGGACAAATAGATTGAAATTCTTTAGTTTAGACAATTTTGTTGTGGGATAAAATAGCTAATTCAACCTTTGTTTGGGATAGCTTTCTACAACAACAACAACAATAAGCCTTTGTCCCACTACATGGGGTCGGCTACATGAATCCTTTTTCGCCATTGTGTCATGTTAAAATTTAAATTCTCATTTAAATCTAATAAAGAAAGATCATTTCTAATATTTTCTAACCAAGTTTTTTTAGGTTTACCTATACCTTTCTTAACATAAGTCAAATCTAATACCTTAACTTTCCTAACAGGGTCATCAGAAGGCCTCCGTTTAATGTGGCCAAACCATCTAAGGTGACTCTCTCTAATCTTATCATCCACTGGAGCTACTCCAACCTTTTCACGTATATGCTCATTTTGCATCCCATCTCTAAGGGTAAAGTCACTCATCCACCTAAGCATCCTCATCTTTGCAACACTTAACTTAGTATTATGCTTCTCTTTTAATGGCTAACATTTGGCACCATAAAGCATTGCAGGTCTCACCACTATCTTATAAAATTTTCCCTTAAGTTTGAGAGGGACTTTTCTATAGCACAATAAGCCCGAAGCATTCCTCAACTTCAACCATCCAACTTGAATTCTGCTGATAATATCCCCATCTATTTCACCTTCACTTTGAACAATAGTTCCAAGATATCTAAAACGTGTACTCTTATTAATGACTTGATCGCCCAAAGCCACAATCCCCTCACTAGGTCTATTGCTACTAAAATTACACTCCATATATTCAGTTTTAGCTTTCTAAAAAAAAATCTAGTTCAAAAAATTTTTGTACTAAAAAGTTGATTTAAAAAGCAACAAAAAAGTTATCCCAAATGATGCCTTAATTAAGAACATGCCATATAACTTTTAGGAGTGTTACCATACGAATTATAAAGTAAGATGACTTGTTGGTAGATTGTAGAGGTTAAGCTCTTATTAATGATAAAAAATGTACTTTTAAAGAGTGGTGAAAATATTTATTATTGTGGTTATGTTGATTACAAGCAAGCTAGAAACATTGCAAAGAGGGTAATAACAAAGTAAAAGCTATAACTTTTGATTTTTTATATAAAGATGATAGTATTTTGATTAAACAGAAGAAATAAACAATGGTGAAATTTCTATTTTGATAAATTGTTAAATGTGATTTTTAAGGAAGAAAATATGTTGATTAAAAAAAGTGAAATTGGAATTTGGTTAGAGGTAAAGTTTTAGGCCTAGATGAGATATGTTTTGAGGTTTATGTTTAGAATTGTGACACTTATAAAGGAATCAAATTTATGTCTTGCAATGAAGTTCTGGCAGAGTGGTGGTAGATAAACTTTAGAAAAATTAACTCTATATTGGAGAATCAATTTGGTTTTTTATACCAAGAAGATCCATAATTGAAGGAATTTTCTAGCTAAGGTAATTAATAAAAATGCGCATAGATCGGAGACATAATCTTTTTATCATTATAATTGTCTTTGGGAAGATATGTAACCTAGTATTACAACAATTGATTTGGTTTGTATTAAAAAATCTGTCTAAGGTATGTTAAGTTATTAAAGATATGCATGATGAAGCATTAACTATTAGAATTAGTTATGGAGACGCAAAAAGTTTCAAACCACAATAATATTACATTAAGTTTAGTATTAAATCTATATCTTGTTTTATGATTAAGTAGATGGATGTGTGGCAAAGCAAGTATGGATAGATTGAGAAATAATTAAATTAAGGGATGGTAGTGGTAACATGTTTTCAAGATAAGGTAGTGAAGAGTAGATTTTATCATTTGGGCATGTACATTGAATGATTGTTATTGCACCTATATGATGAGTAGATAAATTAGTGTCTAAGAGTTAAAAAGGAAAATGACCATAGTAATGTGAATGCAAGATGTGCAAATAAAATTGCATAGAATATATGTAACATCTTTTGCATGAATGAATGGTGAAAGTTTATTCATAAAAGAAACCCCAAATTGTTGGGATGAGGATAATGATGAAGATGATTTATTATAGCTTTAGAACAAATTCATCTTACTAATTTTATTGTCATTGCAATTAGTTATTATCAATTTCTTTGTTGTATAATAATCAGATTTAATGAAGCATAGTAGGATTTTTTATTGCCTTCTAGTATCTATGATATTCTTTGATGACATAATATCATGTAGCATTTCCTTGTTATACTCTCATTTATATTCTCAATCTTTTGTACAATGAGACAAATTACATAAATCTATCCCCAATTTTTGCATGTTCATCTAATTAGCATTAATTTAACTCTGGCGCAATTATAGACCATGCACTTTGTTTTAATTTTCTATTTCTAAGCTCTTTATTTAATTTTCTTATTATAGACCATGCACTTTGTTTTAATTTTCACCTACATTATAAACTTATCTTATCATAACATTTTTATCTATTAATATCTTACTTTACTAACTATAATTGGAACTTTTTTCGACACTTCATAACTAATTTTAATGCAATTCATTGTATGAATGTGCCAATATTTAATAAATTCAATATGCCTTTTATATTTCTCATCAATATTGATCAAACCAATGCTAATGTTATGTATATTTCATAATAGTCAAAATTCTATGAAGATCTTTTTGTTGTTAGCTATATCTTTTTATTGATTTCCTCATATAAAATATCATATTTATGATTGGTACAAAAGACTGAACATATTGTATAAAATCAAGTTAATTTTCCAACATTAATACGACTTCCTTGGTCTTTGTTCTAATTTTCCTGATCATTGTTTAAAATTGCGCAATATGAGGCTCGCCTTGAGGCCCACCTCAACTCAATTCCAGTAAAAAACGCCTCGAGGCTTACGCCTTGAGTTTTTTTTTATGAGGCTTACGCTTCATCTTGGATGAGGCCCGCCTTGAAGCGTGCCTCACCGCATTGGCATGAGGCGTACACCTCACTTTATTTATGTATTTTTTATTTAAAACTTACCTAAATCCTATACAAAAGCCCCAACAAATCATGTATTGCACCCTCAAGCCGCAACAACTTCCTCTTAATTGCCTCGACCTCTAGCCCATCGCCTTCACCGTAGTCACCACCGTCATAGTTGTCGCAGGTGATCACTAGAATGCCACACGCCACCACAATCTGCACTTAAAATTTTGGAGCATTATCTTTATGTTGATGACAAACTTATGAAAGATAAAGATGACTAAGATAAATGAATAATGAGCAAATTGAGAGGTATTGGACCCTACAGGATGAGGCGGGGAAGAGACCATTTGTTATGATAGTGACTCAAAGAAAATTCCCCTTAGTAATAATAGTACATATGATTTTTGAGTTGTTGCCAATTATTTCAGCTTCCTTTAATAATTAAACATAGATTAGTAGGCAAGTTAGAAAGAAAAAAAATAGAGGTAAACTTGATGTCATATGATACTTTTATGCAATTAATATATTTTATGTTATTTTGTTCCTGTAATATTTAGATTTCAATTCTATTTCACATAATTGATCACTTAACACTTCACATTTTATACAAATTTTTATTTTATATGTATGTAAATTTATTACTTCATAGTTCAATAAAAAGTTAATATATCATTCTTTAGCATATTATTTGAATATTATATAAAAAATCACTTTAAACTTTTATTTTGACTTTACGCAATTTTTAGATTTTGAGGCTTACCGCCTCAAAACGCTTTGAGGTTTATGCCTCGCCTCACGAACAAAAAATGCCGCAATACCCAATTATGTAATTTTAAACCTGGCTCCTGATGATGACTTGCTTATATGATTCATAAGCTTGATTCCTCCATTGATGTGATTTTTCCTTGTCATTTGCAATGTTATACCTAAAAACTCATTCATATTTTGTTTTAACTCCCACCCCACCTTCTTCCTACATCTTTGTTGGACTATATATGCATCCAGCCTAGGCAAAATTGGCAATAAAAAAAATGCTCCTAAATAAAAGCATTGCTTCTACTCAGTCTATTCCTTCCTCCACATGAGGTTCAGGAATCAAACCCAAACCTCTAATTTGGTGGTAAGCGGCAATATCACTTGGTCCACTCTTAGTAATGGAGACTAGTCGTCTGAATTTTGATTGTCTTTCTATATTGTTTCATCAATTTGATTTTAACAGTATAGCTCTATATGCTATTGAAATTTCTTGTTTAATGATAGGTTACAGGACATGTGAGCTGAGTTTTTTGCCAAATGATGACCATCTGGCATAATATATTAGATGTTTTTTTTTATTTCAAGTAGGCCTTTATAGAATATTTGTCTAACTTTCTTATTTGGTAATCTTCTCGTAGATACGTTCTGATTTTCAATTTTGTTTACACTCATACTATAGGGCGAATTCCTTTTGCCTACTTAGAAGACATTCACATGAGATTCATGAAAAATTATGGCAGAATTGCTCATTCTGCTCTGGCATATGCAATGAACGATGAATTTGCAAGAGTTCTACATCACCAAATGGAGTACTTCTCTAGCAATCAAACTGCAGATACGCTTAACCGGCTACGAGGTGAAGTCAGTGAGGCAAGTATTTCCTTAATGAAATCCAACCTCATTTTGATTGTTTACAGAAATACATAGATGAAAATCTAGAAAGCAAGCAATTTAATGTCCTCAAAAAGCATTTTGAACAGTTCAATCCTTAAACCTTGCTGCAATACATGCATGCTCAGATTTTTTAATTTTATCATTTTACATTTGTTCTTTTTTGGAAAAAAAGGCCTGAAAAAGAGAGACCGTAACTCTTTATGTACTGTTTTGGTCTTCTGATTTTCTTGGCTTGTGCAGTAGCAACAAACATTAAAATTGGAGACTTATGTACCTAAGGTCTTGCAAACACTGTTATTCATTTTTAGTTGCTCGTGTGCCTTATGTACCCAACCTCATTTGATTGCATTCACGACCTTTCCAATGTTTGAATGAGTGCAAGAGTTTTTGTCAATCATGAAAGTCATTTTCTTTCGTGGTGTACCTCAATAGTCCATCATAATAGCTCAAGAATCTCGGTTGCACATTACAAAAGCTTAGAATATGAATGTGTACAAAGTGATTACTATATGTGCTGATATCTGAATATATGCCATTGAAGAGACTTGGCTTATCAACTTCAAAATATAAGGTGTCTCAGCCTAACTTACGATCCTAAAGTACAAAATTTTTACCTCGGAATAGAAACCCAACATAATCTTAAGTCAATAAATCATCTAACTTAATTCAAAATTTCCTAAGGGGCTATTTGGATCATTGTTTTGAAAACCGGACCGAAATGGCTGGTTCAACCGTGAATCGGTCTTATGGCCAATTCGGTCCTCCTGAAGAACCAGTCTAGTATCAAACCGGTCAAAACCGGTTTGAACCGCCGGTTCAACCGGCCGACTGTTGAACCGGCCCCGATTCTTAAGAACCGGTCGGTTCAATTAATAATATATTTAAATAATTTAATTTAATATAAAATGTTTAAAAAATATTAAATTAATTTACATATCATATATTTTATTTAACAATATAATTCTGAAAAATTAATTGTGTTATAAATTAAATATAAATAAACTTACTCTTGTATATATGCTAAATTTTTATTAAATATAAATTAAAATAAAAAATTGAAGATGTTTATATTTAAATTTAATATCAGTAATCATTTATATTTAAATATATAACATAATTATAATAATTATTTATATTTAATTTTAAAATTATATAATATATTATATATGTATGAATTTTATTTATTTTTTAGTCTTAAAATTCTTAGAATTATGAAATTTTTAAGATTAAATTGTCATTATTATTATGTTAATTTTATTACTTTTATTAATATTATTATTTATTACGTCATCCGGTTCGACCGGTCGAACCATGAACCTCTCTCCTTCTTCCGGTTCGTTGTCTGGTCCGATTTTCACAACCTTGATCGGGATACAAGATTTAAGCAGGATTTTAGTTAAATCTAGGCAAATGCCAAAATACGCATCCTCAAATCTCATGGTAAGTTAAATCTCAAGATAATGTCATTTTTCCGTTTTTTTTAATCCTAAATCCTGGATTTACTAAATTCATGAGAAGTGCCGTAGAAAATGCGGGAGAAAGTGCGGAAAAGAGCCTGTTCTTTCGTTCACTTAAGCTTGACTGGCAGCCAGTTGAAGGCTAGCTGGTTCGCCATGATTCCATGGACATTGATTGCCTTTGAAGGGTGAGAGCAAAGGAAGACGGTGCCTAATGGGAAGTATGGCTAAGGCACTACTTCATGTGAAACCAAAGCAACAACGATGGAATGCTGATGAGAAAAAGCAAATCCTTGACAGGCCTAAGGCTCTACGAAGAGCATAGATAAATACCAATGAGAAGAGAAATTATAGAAGTATACATGCAATGGTAGAGAAGATAATTTTTTTAAATTAGAATGTGTATTTTATTAATTAATTAGGATATGAATACATAATAAGTTTTATTTAATTAATCTAATTAGAATTAATTAAAAATTTAAATTAGAATTTATATTTCATTGGTTTAATAATTTACTAATTAATAGTTACTTGGGATATTCATATTTAATTAGCATGATTAAGTATGGTTTGATTAATTTCATTATAATTATGTAATATTTATTAATTTCATTATCAACATTAATGATGAAAATTTTATTTGAGCTAACATAAGTTAATCTTGAATTAAGTGTCGAAATGTTTCACTAAGATTTAACTGAAGTAAACCTCTATTATATCAAACAGTTTTCAAGTTTTAATACCCTCAGGATTTAATATATTAAATCCTAATTTACAGAATTTATTAAATCCTACTTGAATCGAAACAGCTCCTAAATGTTTCACAAGTACATCCATATAAAATATTAATATGCAAGAAATTATCATTATCGTCATTGTCATTAGTGATTAGCCTTATCTTTATTATATGAAACATGCTGTATGATGACTCCTTTTAATTCTTTCTAGTTGACCGCTACACATAGTGAAAGCAATATATCTCAAATCTTTTTGCTGAATGTGGAGTCATGTTATTTTTTATTTACTTGTTTTTTTTCCTAATCGTCCCACATTAAATCTATCTACTGGTAGCAGTGGTGCATCTTGCCTTTTTTTTTGTATTTTCCTACACCACTTTGAATATATTTCCACTTCCTCACTTCAATTGGTATTAATCTTACCACCCCACTCTTTCATTCTATATTTTTTAATTTTACCACATTAATCTTATTTTTTTTTCTTACACACACTAATCTTATAATGTTCTTATTTCTATCACATTCAATTTTGCTATTAGTGCTTTTTTAATTTCCCAAGAATTGAGATAACATAGCTGGTTCATTGGGTATCCAAAAACATTTTACAATATATCGTATGAACCAATAATTAATTAAAAGTATCTACACAATAATGAAAATAAAAATTGGTACACCTAGAGTTAATAATGAAAAAATAAGCTAATATCTGCATTATGTTGATGAAATTGAGGTATAAGAGAATATCAATGGAGTAGATATACTAGCCTACTAATAATGGAAATAACTCAAATGCCGGATTCTATCCTTGGTGTTACTGGTGTATTTCATCCCTGTAATGTCCATATGCTTCCTGCGTTAGAATAGCAGGATGCAACTAATAGTTTGAATTTCTCTTTCTCTCATACGCACTTCACACATACGCACATGGAAGGTAGGAGCAAGGGTGATGAGGTCTAGCTTTGGGAAATTTTATTGCCTTGCGTTGGTCATGGGATGGTAAAAAGTACCCAATTTATAGAGCTTAGATTAGTGCTAACTTACAAGACTGTAACTTCAACTTATAATCAAATGAAGATGAATTTCATAATTAAAATGAAACTCAAGCTCATTGCCATGTGGAAAAGATCTTTTATAGCTTTTTGGGATTTTCTTTCTTCTTTTATTTAATCCTCTAATAGCTTGTCTTTAATCAATTTGATATTTTCTTGCTCAATGCATGCAAGATTATGTATCTTGCATTCTTGCTCAAAGCTTTTACTTAAAAACTATTGAAAGTATTAAATTGCAACTTCAATTACATGAAGTTCTATTCGCACCTAAGATAATCTAAAATGCAAACTTCCCAAAAGTTATTAGTCACCAGTCATACTACAATTTGTTGATTAGTTTGTAAGAAAAAATACGCAGTTGCCTCATCCCCTCTTTCTCTCTAGCTTTCTTGCATGAGCTCGTGAAACATCATGCGATACTACTAAATGGCTTAAACAAAAGGGGCCTAATTGATGAATAGCGATATTTCAGATCAAATTGTTTAAATCTATAAATTGTGGAAAGTGGCTGCTTGCGGAAAGACCAACTTGATTCAGGGTTGTAGCAATCATGTATCTTATATAGTAGGTGGCGTAACTTTGTACTAGTTTTTATTTTTGGCGTTGCTATGCGACTCTTTAAAAGGTTTTGGCAGTGTTGTAGCAACGATTCTTTAGTAGGTGTTGGCATTGATTGGGTTTTGTTGCTGCCAATAGAAGTTCCTGTAGCGATTATTTCTTCCATGATTCTTTTTTCTGTTCAAATATCCTCTGTCGTTGCCTCTGTGGATCTAGCTGTTTGTTTTTGTAAAAAATGTTTTGCCTTTAATCTGTATGTGCACTTGCTTGACTGCAACGTAGCTCTTCACAAATTTCAATGATTGAAGATTTTTAGTGGTAGCTGACCTAACCATAGGAATTTATATGTATATTAATTATTATGTGAGACATGTATAAGTTTTTGTCTTAATAAAATTTTCTCTTTTTGTCTATCTTGTGTGCTTGGGTGGATGCTTGTTCATTTGAGTGCAATGCAAATGTGACAACCTATTTTTTAGGGAAGTTATCTTCTTGTACTGGTGTGTGGTTAGGGATGCCAATGTGGGGTGATGGGTCGGATTTAGGACTTACCTGAAATTAACCTGACTCAAATTTACTTGACTTGAGCTTGTCTAGTTTATTATAGGCAAAGAAATTTGATTCAAACTGACTCAACACAAACCTTCCTAACCCTAACCTTAAATATAGATTTTGCAATTTTTTGGATCAGCACAACCCAATAAATCTGAATATGACTCGTTTAATCTAATAATGCACATGTCTATATTAACATGCCCAGTTAACTTAAACCGTAGTATTCATCAAGTCAATTTCGAGTTATGTGGCCATGTGGGTAAACTTAAACTGATCCGAATAATAATTGGATCTATATGCTTGACTCGAATCTGAATGGAATAGCAGTGGGTTCAATCCGTTCCCAAATTTTTTGAGTTTGATTCGGGTCGAATTGTCGTGTAGTGACATGTTTTTAAACCCTTATATGTGGTCTTGATTTTGTATTTATTGATCTCTTAGCTTATTATCTTTTCTACATAATACATTACTGGTTTTTTTCTAACATGCTTGCTTTTTGCCAAATATGCAACAACTAGATTTTATTTATTTATTTAATGTATGAATCTTAGTCAACGTGTGATTTTTGGCAGTTTTATTTATTTTTGGTGATTTGGGCAATCATTTTATATTATCTCCTTGGCATAGTTTATAGAATTTTCATGTTTGCATTTGTAGAAGACAAGTTTTTATTTTAATTGGTGGTATTCGGAACTACAAATTTCTAAAATTGATTTGTGCAGTTTCATAGATTGCATCATTTAGTTATATAGGAATCTTAAACATGTAACGTCCTGAATCAACTAGGACACCAATAGAGTAATTTTGTTACAGGAAATAGTGGAAGATTAAAGTTTGCAAAAACCAATTTCATTGGGGAAGATAAGACAGTTTGTAATCTTTAATATACATCAAATTTCATTTTATCCATTAAAGTTTTAGCTGTTGTCATGAAATTGCTTCGCTGCTGTTACACTTGGTGAACAGAAAATACCTCAGCTCCATGTATGTTCTCTTTTGCACGCATACTATTATGTAAACAGTACTTTCACTCATTGCATGATGACCAAGATTTCTTAGAAAGTCCTCTACCATAAAAGTCAAATTTTAAGAAAGCCATGGTCATTCTTAATTTGTGAGGCAGAATGCCTTTTGTTACTTGATTTTTGTTCTTCACATGTATGGGCAAAGGCCAATTAAGCTCCTTTTCATTTGGGTGGCCATGGAGGCCTTATTTGTTCTTAAAAATATTTCTAAACTTTAGTTTTCAAAAATTTTTCTGATTTGACCGTGCTTCCACGTGTTATGTCATGTAAAAATTGTTAATGATTTTGCCAGATACATACTGTCATGGTGGATAACATAGAAAAGATAATGGATAGAGGTGACCGCATTGCACTTCTAGTTGATAAAACAGCAACAATGCAAGATAGCGCGTTTCATTTCAAGAAGCAATCTAGGCGCCTTCGTCAAGCCCTGTGGATGAAAAATGCCAAACTTCTGTATGCGGCTTCATCTCTTTTTAAAATTCTGAGCTTTCCACAAGTTAAACTGCATGAAATCTTCTTGAAATATTTTTTTCCTTTAATTTATTAATGATCCTTTATTCACCGATTATTTTATTGATGCTTTCAGCTTCTCTATTATTCATTCGATCTGATTTTTCCCACTTTTGTCATTTCTTTATGTTTAGGCATAAGGTGTGGTTTATTTACAAATCCAGACTACTGTGGTTTGTGTTGGGAAGTACTAAAATGAAACATTTAAAAGCCTTGCTGAAATAAAAAAATTCTGCCACTTGCAAGCAGTTTTTGAGAAGAAGGTAGAGGAATAACCAACAAAACAAACTTTATTTAATGAAAGAAAAACAAAGGCAAGCAAGATACAATGGATCTTCAATTTGAGGGTAAGATCTGGTTCTCCCAATCCCTAGCGGTGGCTACAGCCCAAGCACCTAAGAGAGATCTCAAATTTCAGCCAAATTCAAGATAAACCTGACCCTAAATTATCTCATATATTTAAAGCATACAATTAAAACTCTTTTCAAATCCGAACTTAACCGCCCCCTCTTCTTTAATATTTTTATTCAAATATTGGGCCTTACAAGGGGGGTGGTTGCTGCCTTGGTTCATCTCCCATAAACTAGAAGCCGACCCTTATGTTGGGCCAACTAGACCTGTCCAGCTTGGACCGGTCTAACAATACAACCCACCCTCCCTTATAGGGTTGAAGTATCTCGAGGCCAATTTCTCATTACTCTGATTAGCTATTGTCCTCTATTTATAGGGTTACAGCTTCAAGAACACTTTATCCCAACTGCGAATTAGATGTCCTTCCCGTGCTTATCTGGCTGCTTCTTCATAATTTGCTGAGCCCTCAATAGGTACCTTTTTAATTCGCCAAATACTCTATCCCTTTCCTCCGAGTAATGCTCTACTTAAAAAACTGGTGTGTTACTCTGCCCAAAATGCACCAAGTGTGAGGGGTCTCGTCCGTAAAACACTTTGAAAGAAGTTATTTTAGAGGTCGAGTGGTACGATGTGTTGTACCAGTACTCCGCCCATGCTAGACATTTGGCCCATAACCGAGGTGTCTCTGAAGCAAAACACTGTAGGTAAGATTCCAGGCTCCTGTTTGCTACCTCTATTTGCCCGTCTGTCTGAGAGGTAGTAAGCAGTGTTTCTTTTTAGCAGAATTCCCTATAGCCTGAATAGTTTTCGCCAAAAATGACTAAGGAACACCTTATCTCTGTCTGAGACTATCGACTCTGGTATCTCATGTAACCTGACCACCTCTCTGATGAATGTTGCTGCCACTGTAACTGTTGTGTAAGGTCATCATAAGGGAATGAAATGAGCAGACTTGCTTAGTCTGTCAACCACCACTAAAATCGTCGTAAACCCCTCAGTCGGGGTACCCTATCTTTGAAGTCCATGGTGACCTCCTCCCACACTCGATTTGGAAGAGCCAGGGTTGGAGTAATCCCCTTGGCACCATAGCTATGTACTTGTTCCTCTGACATTCCTCACACCTAGCCATTATCTCCTCTACATCCTTGTATATCCCCTTCCAATACAATTATGCTATCAATCTCTAATATGCCTTTTGCACCGCAGAATGGCCTCCAACAATGCTCCCATGAAATTCTTGCAGTAGGTGGGGAATATGAATCGAAGTCCGTGGCATCACAAACCTTTCTTGATATAGTAGTCTATCTCCCTCTAGGGCATATAGCCTACGTGGCTGCTCTCATCTTTCAATAGATTCGTCCTAATCTTTCTCAACTCCTTGTCCTGACACTTTCTTCTGTAATATCCCCCAAATCTATCATCAATGGTATTGAAATGGCCATCTGCTGGAGCTCTCTCATACATCTAAATAAGGCATCAGCCATCTTGTTCTCCAATCTTGGCTTGTACTAGATCTCAAAGTCATAGCCAGCAGCTTGGACAATCACCTATGATGCTCCCCAGTCTTCATCCTATGCTCTAACGAGTATTTCAAGATACTTTGGTTTGTCCTGACGATGAAATGTTGGCCTAATAAGTAAGGTCGCCACTTATGAATTGCTAAAACGATGGCCATCAACTCTCTCTTATAGACTAGCTTTGGTTGTCAATACTTCTCTGAAGTAGGCTATGGGTTTGTGATTCTGCATAAGTATTTCCCCCAATTCATTCCATGAGGCATTAGTCTCTACTAAAAAATCCTGCCTGAAATTTGGTAGGGCCAACATTGGTACTATGGTCATGACTTGGTTTAATCTCTCAAAGGCTCGGGTAGCTGCCTCTCCTTACAAAAAAACTATCCTTTTTCAAGTACTCTGTTAGTGGACAGGCTATGGCACTGTATCCTCTTACAAATCTTTTGGAATATCCCGTCAACCCTAGAAAAGCACTCAGCTCTCTCAAGTTCCTAGGTAGAGGCCATTTCAGCATTGCCTCAATCTTAGCCTAATCGACAGCTACTCCCTCCTTGAATTCCACTTGCCCCAAGTATGTTGTGTGTGGAATCTGATAGTGTTGATTAATCAGGTTGCTTTGTTGTCTCGGACCTCAAAGCTTATTGTGTATATTGGGGGGTGTGGGGGTTTACCCTCTGGTTGGGTTCGGGTGCTTTGCATCTGCAATGTTTTTTGTACAACGCCTTGACGCTATGTACCCAAGCACCCTGGCTCTATGGTCCTGAGCCCCCAGCGTTGAACGACATAGAGCAGAGCGCTGCAGTGGTATAGATACGACGCTACTGTGGTGCAATACAAACACTTGAGCATTGTAGAGCCCCAAACTGGCACCACAACACTACGAGGCGGACTAGATGATTTTCTTTCTCATTTTTTTTAAGGGTTGCGTCCCTTGGGGTTATTTTACTTGGCTTTCGCTTGTATTTTGAGTATGTAGACATTGAGAACATGTGAGAAGAGAAGCAAGGAGAGAGAAGAGAGATTTGTACTTATTTCTCCCAATTTTCATAGTGGATTTCATGGTGTGGTGTGCCTCTATGATTTTTTTCCTATTTTGGGTTTTTCCATATTAAATTATAGTGTCATTTACTTTTCTTTTACTTTCACTTTATGGCTTGTTTTGTCATTATGGTGTTTACTCCTTATCTTCCCCAACAAAGTATTCCACACTAGTCTGTGCAAACCAACACTTATTTAGGTTGACCTTCAGCTCCTACTCTTATAACACCCCTAACACCACCCTCAAATGCTCCAAATTGCCCCTTTGTTCTGCTGTACACTAGGATGTCATGAAGGAAAACCAATACAAACTTTGGGAGGTATGGTTTGAATATCCTGTTCATAAGGGATTGGAAAGTAGCAGGGGCGTTGGTGAGACCAAATGACATTACTAAGAACTCGTAGTGTCCCTCGTGTGTCCTGAATGCAATCTTCTGGACATCGTCCTCTCTCATCCTGATCTGATGGTATCCTAACTTCAAATCCATCTTGGTGAACACCACTACACCACATAGCTCATCGATCACCGGAATGAGAAACTTATCTGGAACAATCTCCTTATTCAAGACTCGATAGTCCACGAAAAATCTCCAGCTCTCATTATTCTTCTTGACCAATAAGACTGGGCTAGAAAAAGGGCTCACCCTTAGCCTGATGATCTTCGTTTCCAACATCTCTCAGATTAGTTTCTCAATCTTGTCCATTTAAATTTGAGGGTAGTGATATGGTCGAACACTAATCGATGGCAGCCCCTCCCTTAAGATGATGGTGTGCTCCATGGTTTAAAATTGGGCAATATGAGGCTCGCCTTTGCGCAATTCCAGTAAAAAACTCCTCGATGCTTACGCCTCGAGTTTTTTAATGAGGCTTGCGCCTCAACTTGGTTGAGGCCCGCCTCGCCTCACTGTCATGAGGCTTACGCCTCATGTTATATATATTAAAACTTATATAAATCTTGAAGTAAATGCCCGATATTGGACTCTATAGGAGAGGAGGAAGGGGAGAGCAGTTCACCATAATGATGATTCAAATGAAGAACCCCTTAGTGATGACAGTGCTGATGACTTATGAGTTCTTATGTGATATGTCATTGCTATTTATTTTTGGAAATTAGAATTATATGTTAATGAAAAGAATACTGGGATTTGGGAAAGATAGAATTTTGAATTGAACTATATTTCATGTTGTATTATTATTGAGATATTTTTATTTCACTTTATATCTTATATTTTTTTATGTTTTATATTATTCACTCATTAGTATATAAAAAATTTATCATTTTATGTTTACGCAATCTTTTGATTTTGAGGCTTACGCCTCGCCTCACAAATGAAAAATGCCTCAATATCCGAATACGTAATTTTAAACATTGGTGTGCTCCTGCTCCCTCGGTGGTGGTAAATCTTGAAGTGGCTAAAAAGCCTTAGCGAACAACTGTATGAGTGGTTGTACCGAAAGATGAATGTCCCCTATTCCCTGTTACGGATCTATGGTTTATGATTTTGATGATAGCAAACATTCTTTTTTTCTCTACGATTGCCTTATGTGCTAACGTTTCAGGTCCACACGATCAGACTGCAATCTGGAACCAGCTCAAGATTGGGTAGACTAGGTCTGTGTCAGTTTGTAATCTTTTTCCTTTCTTAAGTCTATTGTATTTAGTGTGGCTATAACTTGGTAGAAATTCTCTTGCTCCCTATATGATTTTTGTTTTTGGTAACATAGTCCGGGACGATGTTAATATCGGCCTGGACGATCTGTCCAAAATCAGAAATCCTGATTAGGGCATCCTCATTAAGACAGCCGTCAACATATTGGCCTGGACGATAATCTCATTTCAAAAAGAATCAACCGCCATGATCAGATTAGGTATTCATTATTTTAGGCAATCGGCCAGGATGATATGATTATCGTCCAGGACGATCTAACTCAATCATGCCTAAATTGATCTGGTATCTTTGGAAAGCATTAATGGTTGATTGATACAAT